GAGAGAGAGAAGGGGGGGGGGGGGGTCTAAGAACAGCGGAGACTTCGTCGTTAAGCTTGGAGCTGACATAAGGTCGAGCTGTTCATCGGTCACCCGAGCCACACCCCTTTCGGAAGTGGAAAACGAGGGGTGTCCACCTTGAAAAGCCCGAATCCTTTTTCGCGTCGGGAAGGATTCATTTAATGGGAACACACCCTCGCATGGCCCCCACTCGAACCCATCGCCACCTCTTTTCGCCCTCGCCTTCTCCGTCGCGACCAAACTCGGCGAGACCGTAGGCCTCACTCCTCTCTCTCTCTCTCTCTCTCTCTCTCTCTCTCTCTCTTTCTCTCTCTGCGACCTAACTATTAACGACGACAAGCTGAGTGCGTGTCTTTCTTTATATACACCGCAACGCAGAATACCCTCCTTTTTCCTTTTCCTAAAGTGGATTAACCGTCCCCCGTACCACCCGCGACGGCGGTCGGCGCGGGGCCAGAGAAGTGGGTCCCACTCACACGGCATGTGGGACCCACCTTTCATCCACAAAATACCGTGCTCCCTGTCCGCGTCTGCCCATGCTTTAGGACGAAAGATACGTACCATCGACTTCGGGCACCCGACTGATTACGCTGCACGGATTGGATGTAGCGGTGGAGCCCATCTTCTTCTCCAATCAACTTCCGTCAGGTTCTACTTTTAAATTTATCACCGAAATGCTCTGCGCACACCCCCCCCCCCGAATACCCGACGCTCACCCACCGGTCTTCCCCACGAAACAGCCTCTTACGGGTCTGGGTTGGTGAAATTCTACCACGTTCGCGTGTCTTTACCGCAACTTGGCTTTATTTAATCACGCTTTTAAAACCCGTTGCCATGTTACCTTTTCCTACCTGCCTGATGATTGGCTGGAAGAGAGGAGTACCCGTGGACCGCAGTCCAATCATCGGCCGATAAGATTCGATGAAGGCAGGCAAAGCCCACACCGGGACAGAGTAGCAGCGTCCGTTCTTTCTCTCTGTCGGCGTCCCTGTCCGTCTCTGCGCGGCTCTGGTCACCGTGGAGGCCGCTCCGTGTTCTTCCTCTTCCTCTGGGCAAATCCCTCGCTATTTCTCTCGCTAGGAAGGGACCTGACCGTGGCGGCGTACTTGCTCTGGTCGCCGCGGTGCCGCTGAATCCGAGCGGGCGGCTGTGCTACCTGGTGTATGATCGTGCCGGCCGCAAACGCCGTCGTCGTTCAGTCGAGGGCTCGGTGAGCCGTGGAGGAGCAGGTGGGTGAGGCGGAGTGCATGAGGGATTTGGCCGATTTGTTTCTGAACTCGCCTTTAATCTGGGTGCGGGGTCGGAAGGAGGAGAAGGGAAAAGAAGATCCGAGAGTAATAAAAGGACTTGGGACACCAGAAGTTGCAGTGAAAACAGCACGGGAAGGTCAAGCTTTCTTAATCTTCACTGTATACTTCAATTTAACAAACAAATTTGAGTTCGTAGGTTTGTGAATTAGAAATTGATACAATCTTAGTGGTTGTTTAAGTCATACGCATGTCTTCTCCTTGCTTTCGCATCGTTCCAATCGTTTCATCCTACTGCTCGTGAGATGGCAAAATATCACTGCGTTTCGATATTAACATCAAATGCATCTCTCGATTTCTTTGTTGCGTTATTTTGTGTTTTATGAATAAGACATGGAGACTTTCTTGAGTAAATAACTTGGAACGTTATGTTGTTTTTCCCCCCAAGCTTCCTTCACCGTGTAATCTTTTCCTCATGTTTCTGATCTACACTTCTGATTCGACATGATTTAGCTCCTATGCAAGCCGATGGCATGCTTTTTTTTATTTGTTTCAGTAAAATATCTATCTTGCTATTGAATTTTGCACCTTTTCTTTTTGCCCGTTTTCATTGAAAAATAGAGTTGAGAGCTCAACAGTGGAGGCCAGGGTACCTTTATCCTGATTATTTTTCTTATACTTTAATGTCTTTAACTTTCTTGTTGAATAAAATTACGTAAACAAAAAGGAAGAAGCTTTTTAGCATCATGGTGGTGCCGCTTTTATTGCTCTTGCCTTTTAAAAAACGTGCTTCTGTTTCCTCAGATGTTTTCTTTATAACAGGAATATGTGAGATATTGTAGTTATCAATGATTGTGCTCTTTGTGTTTGTTCCAAACATTCTGTCATTCCTAGCAACTTATGCTATATTCTTTACTTTTATCTTAAGTTCCAGCTTTTAACTGGATGAATAAATGGTTTTGACTTTGTTGGGTCTGGGGATTAATTATTGTCTTCTTGTTAGCTATTATCTTTGGGAATTATTTGTACTAAGTGATTTCTTATTTGTTTAACATTGTTACTTCTTTTCGCATGATCAGTAGTGATTGCTTTTGATATAACTTAGCAGTCACCTTGTTGATTGTGAAATGGTATTAGCCAACACAAGGAAACATAAAATTGCCTCCAAGAAACATGTTTGTGCCTAGTGACACTGTCTACTCATCTTAGAAATGGTAAATTTTCAGATATAGCCTATTGAAGTTCATTAAGGAAGTTTGATAATCCAAATATATGAACTTCCATCATGTGTTGTTTTTCTCAAAAATGAAGAAAAATATCTTCTGATCTTGAAAGATTTCATTCTTTCTATCAGTCTTAAGAAAAAATGATTGGATTCATACTCTCTTTTTATATTCAATTATACATTATTAAAAGTATTGAGAAATATTCTTTAGGAATCCTATAAATCTGGTTGAGGCAACTTAGGAAAACCTTAACATGCTATCATTATAGTGTCCATAGTTAATACATGGTCTAAAGGCAATCATATTTACAAATATACTTGGGTATTTCACTTGATTTCCATAGGGATAGTAAAAAGTTGGTCTGAGATATGGATCCAAGGATGATAGACTATATTTGGATTTTTCTGGAAGATTATCTAAGAT